TATAGGACTATATCACTATAAGGAAGATTATCATTCGTTTATATTTAGTTTCGCGAATTTTTAATCATTTGATGCATATATCTTTGCATTATTTTTTGAAATTGAAATGCAATTATGATAAATAACAAAAAAATGAGAGTAACATTATTTTTTATAAAGAATTAGGAGTTACTGATTCGGGTATTTAAATAATTGTGATTAATGAAGTATTTCGTGCATTATATTTATACATCAAGATTAAAAAATGAAATCTTGTTTTAAAAATTATACGTTCAAACAAATTATTAATACACGAACTTCTTATTCATAGTTGGTAGGATTCGGAGATTATTATAAATGCGAAGCTGTGTGGTCGTGCAGACTGAGTGTCAGATTCGTAAACAAAGGATCCCGATTTCGAATCTCATTTGCTTCGTTAATTTTTCATCGAGAATATTATTTCCTATAAAAGGAATAATATAATTAATAAAAAAAAACAGAGGTATTTACAAAATAAATTGAAACAGAGACAATTTGAGAGAACAAAATCCAAGCATCCAGCAGTAATCCTGCTGACTGGTATGTACTGCTTAAATGGTTATTGGTTAAACCTAAAAGTCTAATGTTAGATAAATACATAATATGTTTACATAAATCAAAGGAATTGTCCTTGACTTGTAACGTATTCGCGTCATATTATAGAGTATTTTGTATCTTTTTCATGTTATTAAAACCATGGGCGTCTCGCCGCTGTTCTACGCGAACTTCGCTACGCGTGAACTTGGCGTGAACTCGAGATACCACCCGTGTCTTTTTAAAATGTTCCAAATTAAATTATAATCACCCAAATAAAAAGGGAGGGTGTGCACGGCAGGGCCCGACCACGAACCAGCCGTGAAAACTCGTAATTATTTTGCGAAAAAAATACCACCTCAGCCAGGAATCGGAACCTGGATCTCCTGCTTACCGGACAGACATCTTATCTGTTCGACTACCGAGGCATGTGATGGTATTTATTGCAAATAACGTGTTAATAATTATATATATGTATACCTGTATTCTCTCGAATCACCTTCTCATTATTAAATGTTTTAAAAACTATTATTTTGCTGACTAAAATTTTTAGATTGTTAAATTACTCCTTTAATATTTTTACATGACACATATCGATACATATTGATACATATCGACACATATCGACACATATCGATAGATTGAGCATATCGATAGATATCGATTTGCTCAATAAAATAATTTTTCATTATAAAAATTAGAAATTATTTCTTTTTTACAATTTTATTGCAGGACAGTTCGATCAAAAGAAATACCGTGTTTTTTGCTTTAACTTTCGACTAAGAAGCAATCTTTCCTAATGTCTAATTTTTTTATATTAACATTATTTGTCTTTTATTTTATAATAATTTTGAAATATGTTTAATGTCGATTTATTGTCGAACTTACAATTGTCGAACATGCTTTTTGCAAGATTTTAATTCGATCCAGTACAGCAATAAAAGAATAGGCCTTAGAACTTCAATTAAAAAGAACATGCCTATTGTATGAGAACATTGAAATTGATTTTACTGATCGTGCACTAATGCTAGCCATCGCGAGTCTTTTGAAGTCGACGGAAGATAACGCCACTATGATGTTAATCATGTATCAATTTCTTCCCTATAGAAGAAGATTCACAGTCATTTGAATCTAATAAATTTTTTAAATCAATATGCTGCGGATGTTCTTATATACATTTACACATTATACATGTATTTTGTGAATGATAATTCTATGAATATTCGACAAAAAGTTGAAATAGAATATCACCTAAGCTTTTCTTCTTTTGATTCCTTAATGGATTTCCGACTCATTTGAATGAGTTACAGTCACAGTTATCAATTCTTTTTAAAAACAAAAATGGATAATCATTATTTTCAAATATTAGTATTTCGATGTGTTTTGATAGGTATTTTGATATGATTAATGATTTGACTTCCATAATTTTCATTATATCTTTTCCATTATATATCATATCTTTCTAATTTCTTTATTTAATATTGCTCATTTTATTTGTATACTTTATATACTTTCTTCTTCACCTTTCTTTTTTTCTTCTTTAATTTTTTCCTCCTTTCTTATTTTTGTTGTGTGATTCATTCCATAACTCTTTCTTAATTTTTCTCATTCTGGCATATTTACAGTTTTATCTAAATTCCTCCGCTTATGATCTTTTAATGTATTCTAACTCTTTTCTTTATTCAAATCTCTATCATTCCAAATGTCAAATTCTTTTATGTCTTTTCAATAATTCTGTATCTTTATTATCTAATTTTAGGATATTCCAAAAATCCATTTTATCTTCTTTTTTTGAAAATTATATTCCTTTTTTCTATTTTTCTTCATTATTTAATTATTTTGTTGTGTTAAACTACGTGTCCTTTTCTTTTTCTTTCTTCTTGTAGTTTTCATTCCCGCGAATTCTGCTACCAAAAGTGGCTGCATTGTCTCCTCTTCTTCGAGCTATTATTTATAGGCCTATGAAATTCAACAAACTTGATCTGTCATTTGGTTTCTTTCGAATTTATAAATGAGAATCAGGTTTTGAAGTTATTAATCAGCCTCTTCCACGGAATCACACGTCACTACTTAATCTTAAGAGAGAAATAAGAAAGACTTGAGAATAGCAAAAACTGATTTTTATTACTAAGTTATTTAGTTATTACTAAGCTATTTAAGAGTTTATTACTAAGTGTTTTTTATTACTTCAGTTTTGCTATGGTGCTATTTCTTATAGCAAATTCATAATTATTAAAATGTATTATAGCGTTTATTAACTTTATTATATAGCGCAAAAATTTAGGTTAGTAATATTAGAAAATTAGAAAATTATTTTAATAATATTAACATCGAATATGTTTAATGCTATTTTCATCTATCTATGAAATATGTGGAATATTTTGTAATATGAGTCATAAAATATTGTTATATAAATCAAAATAAAATTATATGCATATATCTTTGCGTTATTTTTTGAAATTGACATGCAATCATGATAAATAACAAAAAAATGATAGTAACATTATTTTTTATTTTTTTAAGAAATTAGGAGTTACTGATTCGAGTGCTTAAATAATTGTGTATATGAAGTATTTTGTGCATTATATTTATCCATCAAGGTGAAAAAAATGGTGAAAAAAAAGGTGAAATCACGTTTTAAAAATTATGCGTTCAAACGGACTATTAATACACAAACTTCTTATTCATATTATGCAATAGTTTAATATTGTAATAAGATATTTATCAAATGTGTTAAAGTAGATATTAATATTGTTTGTTAATTAAACGAGTCGTGATCGAATTTGTCTCGTGTTCATCGCATTTCGCTGATGATGATGTTCATAAATGCTGACAACTTTGATATCGCATAGTACATGAATCAAGTTTGTAAGGTAATCCGTGATATGCATTAATACTCCCATAAAAAATGAGTAGAACAGAAATACTTATAGAGCGATGACCAAGGATATGTTTCATCTAGGGAGTGTGGTCTTTTCTAATAATATTAATAGAGGAAGCAAATATAGGTCGGTAAACGTTATATGCTGTTTGTTCATATATGCTGTTTGTTCACCTAAATGTAAAGTAATAGCAATTAGAAGAAAAAATTAAATTACAACTTTTAAAAATTCAATAAATGCTTGAATTTGCATACAAATGACATTCACGTAATGTCAATTTTATTATTTATTAAAATCTAAACATTGTATAGTAAAAGACATTTTGTATTAAAGACAGTTTGTATTAAAATTAAGCTTTGTTAAAATTTTTGTATTGAATTTGTATTGAACATAAGTGTTAATTTAACATAACGTGATTGTGTTATTTAAAAACTTTGTGTTACATTGATATTCAATTGATATTTATTTTTTAGTTTATGTAACACAATTTATGGAAGTGAATAAATAACATAAAAATAATAGTTTTGTTAAAATGTAAATTTTAAGATAATGAAGAAAACGTATGTGTTAATTCAATATATTACAAATGTTAATTTTACTGAACAAATATGTTCCATTAATTACACATTTTATATGTAAAAATGTACAGATAATTTATGTTATTTCTTCTCTGTGGTAGTTACAATCTGTTAAATCATTAAATTTCAGATATTAAATATCACGTATAAATATTGCTTTTTCGTTTCTTTATTAATTTTAATTTTGTCAATATATTGAACAACTTTTATAAAAAATAAAAATAACATTCTATTTCAGTTAAAGTTAACGTTACAAACATTAAATTTGCTTACCAAATTATATCAAAGTGTTACGTTTCTTGCATCAACTTATTACATAATATTTGCGTGACTTTTTAATATATTCGCTTATGTAAAATTGATATAAAAATTTGAGTAGACTGTTTGGGATATGCGAAATGTGTTATTTAGCACAAAATTTTTTACTGTGTAAGAAACATGAAGATAAACGAAATACATAAACATAAATGAAAACATCGCATGACAGATATATTGTCGATGAGATAATATTTATTATGGAGAAAATGTTACACCGTTTTCTTTTTTCTTTGGGATAATGTAAGAAAGTGTGGAATTTTAAGTGCATATAGTAGGTAATCGCTAAATTACAATTGTACAATTCGTGTAAAAAAATTGTACATACTTTTTACAATAATGATTTCGTCTATTAGGTAAGCGGAATAACTTATTTCATGAGCAACATTCTACGAGCATTAATTATACACGTTTCTTCATTCTGACATTATATGTTATACCGCTTTAATACAGCAATGTTATCGACTTTATTGAAGTATTATTTTTCCAGTTTGCAATAAAAAGGCATGAGTACATGATCTCATTTTTTTATAAAAAAAATGCATCGTTTCATTTCTAGTTCAATAATTTCGTTCCTATATTATTATACTAAAACAACAGAATTTCCAAATCCTACTTTTTTTTATAAATATTTATACATTTATACATAAAATCATTTAAAATACACATTCTATTTTTTTTTCATCAAATAACATCATGCCCTAAATTAAACTGGAAATACTACGGTGCGAGGTTGTGATTAAACAGTTATATATATTTAGCATATATATATCAAAGATTTTTTAGTATAATATGTGTATGAAATAACTTTCAATAATTTTATATTAATATTCATTAAAATATTTTATAATAGCATAAACATAAGCTTCGAATAGAGTGTGGCCAGTCTATTCATAATCAACAAAAATGTTTATATTTAAATAGTAATATGTTTAAACATATTCGTTAACGTTTAAAGATCACGCTTACACTACAAAAAAAACAATCATATTTGTATAATGTAATTATAAGTATATTACACAAAAACACACTTTTTTCTGCAAATTTTTATAAGTTTTGAAAAAGTTGAAACAAAATAGCCTTACTCTACCTTACTCTATGTATTTGTGTTATTATAAAACATTCTAACATATATAAATATATATGTATATATACGTATATATACGTATTTAATACACTATCGTGATATACACATAGAAATTTGCTTATGTTACACATAAGCTATTTTCATATAATTAATGCTGCAAACAAAAAAATGTTTTAATCAAGAATAAAAAATCGTTATACCGTTCCTTTTAATAAAATGTGTTTTTTCAATTATAAATAAAAATACTTTTTCTGTATGCATTATTTTATGAAATCAGTGTATTACAACTTGTAATTCACAATCCTTTCTATTACTTCCCGGCCTTTTAATATAAGAAAAAATAACTATAGTAGACAATATAAAATACTTTCAATATATAATTAAACTCATTATTTCCTTCTTGATATCTTCTGTTCACGCTAAAACTGTAAAATGATTTCTATCGAGATACAATGATAAGCATTTATTTACATTGCAGCCTCGTATTATTTTTGTGTTAGTTTCAGCTTTATAAACTATCCTAAACTGTTCGGAACTGATATTAGTTGCATACATCTAGTAAAAGTTATAACGAGCGCTTCTACATCAAAGTTATAAATAAGGTTGTTTAAAAATATTATGCTAAGATATTTTTCCTTATTAACATACGCAATCTTATCTAACTTTGTTAATGTCATTATTAAGTTTTCAGTAACGTAAATCATATTTTACAGTATCATAATTGTACAATTGTTTACTTGATACTTTGCTAAACCACAAGACTATAATATTTTCATAAATTATTGTGTACCTAATATACTAACGGCAAAAAAAGTTCTTGTACCATGCATGTGAATCACACACTGTAGCCCCTTACTAGAGCTATGCAAAATATTTTTAGATGATAGTACACTGCATTCACAGTTTTATTATACACAATATATATATATATCTATATATAATATATATAGTTTCTTCGACTTCAATAATTTTTGTTTTAAAAATTAAGTATAATTAGATATACAATCTAAATAAGGAAAATTATCAAATGTTCTTTTATGGCTTTTGTCTAATTTTCCTTATTTTGTATTTTAGGATACATTACACTAACACTGGGACAGAAGTAAAACATTGAACTATTGTGAATAGGTACATTTTTTTCTTATATTTGTTATTACGAAATTGTATGTAGCATGTTTATATTATTAGCGCTTTCTTCTTCTTCTTCCTCCTGGAAAAAAACATAATATATCATGCATGTGTATCGTACTTTTATTTTAGTATAAAAGTGGTTAAAAAAAATATAGTTTAAAATATATAAATAAATTACTTACTTCATCAAATCCGAAACAAGTTTCCATTTCTTTTTGTAACTTAGAATCATTTTGTGAGCTTTGCGTCGAAGATTTAGATGGAGTAGGAGGTTCAATTTTTAGATCTTTCATTTCTATATCTTCATCTGCTTCATCAACTTCCTCTCCTGTTGCTGTCACTAAACTATTTTCTTGAGTTAAAGGATCTTGCATTACTAACTCTCCATCTTCACTTGCAACAACAGCCATCTATTATAGGTCATATATTTATAATAATAGTAATTACTGACAATATAATACATACATATGCATATAATACACACACAATATATACATACATATGTATTTAATTATATTTGTTATATCAAAACACAGATAAGTCCTTCGAAATATTTTGTTTACCTGATCAGTTCCCTGATTGTCCGCTAATTGAATCACTTCTAATACAACATATTGCTGACCATCACTGCCTTGAACCGCCATCATATCGTCTTCATCTTCTTCCTCTTCTTCATCTTCATAACCTTTAAGTTTAGAAGCTAAATCACCTGTTGTTACAACATAACACATGGATATTAGTCAATGATCCATATTTAGATCATATCGTAAGTGTCCCTGTGAGTAAACGATTTGATATATTTTAATCATGATATATACAATTGTATATATCATATACAATTTTTAAGCATTATAATATATGAAGTTACATAAAGAAATCACCTGATATTCATAAACAATATGATGCACACGAAATCAAAATTTATTGGGATTTCTTTAAAACTTCCTATAATTTTAAGATTGTAATAATAATTTCAATCTTTTACCTGTCATTACTTCAACACGTTGGCCGTCAATGATTTGAATTTTCTTTTGTCTACCGATTTTAAGAGCTTGTTGTTTTTCTTGCAGAGATGATTCTGGATCATGAACAGCCATGTGTCGAATAAGATTACCTTTATGTCTGTGTAATAAAAAAATTTTATATTCATAAAAATTGAATTGATAATTGATTTTATTATGCTGTTAATTGCGTTTCAAATTCATATACACACCTAAATGCCCTTTCACATTCGGGGCATTGATGCGTTTTTTCTTGTGGTGGTGGAGGAACATAAGAGGGATTATGATAAAGATTGCAATGCCGTTTAAGTAATTGTTTTTGTCTAAATGATTGAAAGCAATGATCACATTGATACGGTTTCTGATCAGTATGAATAAGCATATGGCTCTCCAAATGACGTGCTGATATAGATGCATAAGGACATAGATCGCATTTATAACATTTCTCTCCTTCGTGAGTTTTGCTATGTAACTTATAGCTATATCTGAAATGTAACATAATTTATATTAAATGTAGTTTGTTGAGGCACGCGCAAACGTTATAATTTTTATATATTTAATTCGTATTTGATTATTCCAAAAATATATTTTATTAATAATTATTAATAATTATAAAAATTTAATAATTTAAAGAAATTATTTATATACCTATCTGGGAATGTTTTTCCACAACGTTTACATTTTAACGGCTTATCAGAAGTATGTAACTTTTGCACATGAATTCTAAGATCCGTTTTTCTGCCACATGTAGCTGGACATAATTCGCATTGAAATACTGGTTTATCGCCTACTATAACATGTATTGTTGCCATAAGTTAATATATTGGTATAAATACTACAAATCTTTTTACACATGAATATAAAATAATGAAATAAATTATGTATACATAAAACATACAATAGCTTTTTAATAAATTTCGAGATTAATATGACTACGCTCAAATGTCATATTTAAAATTTTTTAACTGTTTTCATGTAAAGTATGCAATGTAAGCAAATCATATGTCAAATTATAAACAAAAATTGTTTATAATTTTTTTATATTAAAATCATATATATAATAAACTACAACGCGAGACATGGCATTTACTCGGCAAGCAGGATCTTGGTTGCTAAAGTCTTTATAATATGAAAATAAATTCAATTAATTTTTATATTACCAACTATGTGCAGCTTTTTTAGCAGACTTTCAACGTAGTGATTATATAATAATTCGATGATCAATATTATTGATATCGATTAAAATTCCTTTTATTATCTCCCCCCATCAGAAATATATATTGCGAAAAATATTACCTCAGCCAGGGATCGAACCTGGATCGCCTGCTTTCCGGGCAGGCATCTTATCCACTAGATCACTTGCCGAGTAAATGCCATGTCTCGCGTTGTAGTTTGTTATCATATATATATAATATTTCATATGTAATATTTCATTTAGTTAATCTTTCCAAAAGCGCATATGGCTTACCATTGTGTATCAATTTATGTGCTTTCAAACTGTTGGATTGAGTAAATCTCGCTTGACAGAAATCACATTCATATGGTTTTTCTCCAGTGTGAATGCGAAGATGACGTTTTAGTTTAAATGTATCTGGACTTGCATATGTACAATGTGGACACTAAAAAGATAATTAAATATTGTATATTAATCATTAACTGATATTATGAAATAATACACTATTCTCAAACATATTTTTTTTAATATTAAATATCATAAATAATAATAATTAAAAAAATAAAAACTAATTGAAAACAATATACAAAAACACAAATTAAATAATATGTATAAACTGTATTATAAAAGAAAAAATAAATTTCATAAATTTTGGTTTTATATATGTGTACTTATGCTTCTTCTCACACACACACACACACACACACACACACACACACACACGCGCGCGCGTACACACACAAATATAAATAATACATTTAAATTTTTATATGAATATTTTTAGCATGTATAATAAATTAACTAAGAAAAAATATGATAATACCTGATAGGGTCGTTCGCCTGTATGACATCTAATATGTCTTTTCAATTTTGATAACTCAACAGATGCATAATCGCATTCATGACATTTATGTGGTTTTTCATGAGTGTGTCTGTATCGAACATGTCTTACAAGTTCACCTGTAAATAGATGTATAAAAGAGAGATTTATATATTACACAAATTACTATTTTTGCAAATATTTGGTGGTCAGAAAAATAACAAATTTGTAGTCTGAGTAACTTTGGGATAAATTATCATAAATTTTTAAATTATATTTAAGGCTTCTGATTAGTCATCGTGGCCATATTAGAATCATGATGTCATAAGCGAGAAATAACAGCGAAATTTATTGCATCTAATTTGTAAATAAAAAGATATTTGACACTTGAGATGACTTTAAGACAACTTGTGAAAATGGATTACTATCATTTTTCCTCTTGATAGTCAATAAATAACTCTCGTAAAATAAAGCTAAAAAAATATAGTTTGACAGCTATTGAAAAAAGTAAAAAATATACTTTTACATATAAAATTAGAAGGTAACTTTAGTTACCTGTCCATTTTTACGAATTCGGTAAGTAGAGACAAGTCACATGACAAGTCTACATGATTAAGAAATAAACAAAATAATAACGTAATAACAAAATTAGGTGTAATAAAAAAAATTCGTTGTCTGCATATCATTTATAAACTTATGGACAAAGATGAACAAGAATAAATAAGATTATAATTTTTATCGCGACACTGTCGTGGAGTTCTTAGTAATCAGAGTAATCAGAAGCCTTGGTTAATATTATTATAATTAAAAACATATTTAACAAGGCAAAATAATTTTAATA